CGGAAATCGCTTCAGAAAGACCGCCGAGTCTGTGGATCAGAAGGGTCGGCTGCCAACGAAATGCTCAAACAGCTACTCGGAAAGAACCCACGATGCTCCAATGTTCATGTAAGTTATAGAAGTAACGCCAGTGAAACACTCAAAGCCAACCGGTCGAAAGCGCGCTCCAATGCCGTGAATTGTCATGTGGTTTTGCACTTGTCTGTCAGTAACAGAACTGTTGTGTTCTTGTTTGGTAAACCTATTCCCGTTACCAAGGTTCTGGAATCGGGGGTTGTAGTTAGTTATAACAGAATCAAGTCATTCGGCCCCAACACTATCGAAAAGAGAATTAAACATAGTGAAGTCACCGTCTGTGGGCCTCGGCAACCCAGGAGGCTGTACTGGAGGGTGTTCATGCAACAACAGGCTATCTCAAGCCAGGCTGGCAAATGGATTGGGGATTAACAAATACAGTTCTCTGTCCATAGGTCCGAGGGTTAGACTAATTGTGACAACTCGTTCCACTTTTCAGGCCTCCGTCTGCTGTTTTATTGCAAGCCTTAGAGTGCGGACTCTCAGACAGATCACCAACCAAGTTAACCTTACGTGGACTCCGAAGTACAAGAGCCAAGCGCAGTAGTTGAGCTCACGGATCCATCAACACGCTGTCGAATATAGACTGCTGCAACGAACCGCATCGTATTGATACAGCCCTGATTTCGCAACCTGATGCTCCATTGCTTGATTGGATACTTGTAAACAGACAATTCTGTACCACGGAATGTTCACTTCCATAAGTGATTAAAGTGACACCTCAAGAAAGGTGTAACCTTACGTATTACTCACGAACTGGAATCCGGTGGAACAAGACGACCTTATCACGAGCTTATCCGTCATGAACAGACTAAAACTTACCGTGATGTGGCGGTATGTGTACCTCGGCGACCCATTAAGCTATGGTGGGGGGTGTCCGCGCGACACTCAGTCTCTCATACCAGGTTGGTCCATGGATAGAGGTCTGACGAACAGTCTCCTGGTACTCTAGGTTGCGAGTTGGAACATGTATGGTGACGCGTAAATATGGTAATGTACTTGCATTTCCAGCCCAACACCGCTGCCTTGCGGCTAAGCTTTTGAGCCAAAGGCTTTGGTCGAGGACCCTAATCGTCCTCCTGTCTAGATGTGGGCGCCCTGACAGTATCCTATCCCTCGTAAAAACATGACATACACAACTAACAACACTCTCATGACACATCGGCCGTTGCGTGGCGCCATCAGCCGGGTCGCCTTACTTGCTGCATACAGCAGGGCGGGTAAGCGAAAACATGCTATTGCTGACGCATCCCTTCTTACACTTTCACGTTTCGTTTTCCGTACGCTCCCCCGCCCGAATTTGAATGCTTTCTCCGCACGTCCCAGCTATAGGGCTTACCGTTTTGCTTTGTTTGTTTTGTTTTGTTTGTTTTGTTTTTGACTGAACACAGGGAGAGGCAGATCCGTGAAAACCAAGCTGGGTTCCGTCCTACAAGAGGTTGCATCGATCACATCTTCACCCTCCGACAGATTCTGGAACAGCGACACTGCTTCCAGCAACCAACAGTGGTTGTTTTTCTTGATCTGAA